GATGATCAACACAAAACGTAGAATTATAATAATAAACTCTCTCTCTCTCTCTCTCTCTCTCTCTCTCTCTCTCTCTCGATATGATTCATTGATTTTATGGGTCACCGAAAAAAAAAATTTTGTTTTTCTCGCTCTCTTCGTGCTTATTTACCCAGATGAATGATTTGTTTTTTTTTCGCCGAATCTTTGATTTGATTCATTTTTTTTAATGAACTGAATCTAAAGTAATAATGATTTTGCTTTTCTCAATTTAACATCAATTTTTTTCATCTCTCTCCATTCATTAATCATTAATCAAATTATATCAACAAATATTTATATTTTAGCAAGGACGAACACCACTTCATATGGCTGCATTATTAAATGATTCTGGTCAAATGTATTGTCGATTAGTTGATTTAGGTGCAAAAACCTATGTCACCGATATGGTATGTTGTTGTTTTTTTTTGTAACATTTTTTTAAATATTTTTTTCATAAATTTCAAATGAAAACGAATGAAAAAATAACCAAATAAACATCATCATCAATCATGTATAATTCAAATCAATAATTAACGAACCAAATGAGAAAAAGAAAAAGTTTTCTTCACTGCATTGCATTTCTTCATTTCATTTTTCATTCGCCGCAAAAAAAATGATTTCGATCAATCGAATCAAGGAGAAAATTATTGCCATTGAAAAACAAAAAAAACCCGCAAACTAAATGCAATTATAAAACTTGAATTACCCAGAGATCCACAAACAAACACCGACACAATTTTCTATTTTTTCTTTAGTTTTTTTTTTAGATCAAAATTATCGTTATGGTAACATGGGCCAAGTTATTGATTGAATTTGTTGCTGTTGTTTTTGTTTTTTTTTTTCACTTTGCAGTCTAGGTTTTGCTTTGTTTTGGTTTATTCAAGCTACCTTATTTCTTTGCTTTCATAACCTTACCTGTATGGATTTTCTTAAAGTTTTTTTTCCCTCTGCTTCATTCATTCCCCCCTTGTTTCCGGTTGAATTTTCTCCCTCCCTTCTCCCTTCTAAATTCATAAATATATTCGATTTGATAAACTTTTTTTTTGTTTTGTTTCTCGTCTTCTTCGTCATTTGAGTTGTTGTTGTTGTTTGTTTGTTGTGTGTGTGAAAATGTAATTTGTGTTTGTTTCCCCTGGTTTCAGAATTTTTTTTGTTTTGTTTCATATGCATTATGAATGAATGAATTTCATCATCATCAGTATTTTCATATTTAGAATTATTTTTGTTTTCCCCATCAATAATATATTTTCTTCGAGTACCGGTGCTGTGTTGACTTGGTTTTTTTTCCCATAGATTTTTTCATAGTTTCTGAAGCGTTTTTCCAAGTTTTGATAGTTTTGTTTTTCATCTCAAATACAGTTCCTAAGACGACCTGAAGATTATCTTAAAACGGATGATTATCAACCAAAGACTTTTGTTAATAATCAGAATCAACAACAACATCGAAAGCCAAAACCAAAACGACAATCAAATCGACAAAAGCAACGATCAAATCGACAACAACAACAACGACGTAATAAAAGTATTTCGCCAAATATTTATCAACAACAACAAAACAATACTTTATCAACAACAAATCATCATCATCATTGTTCATCGATTGAAATTGATGTTGATTTTTGTTCCTCGTGTAACGATGTTGATGATGATTCAAAAAATGTGATAATCAATACTAATCAACCATTAAATGTTAGTAAAGTGTTAATTGATTGATACACAAAACCAACGAAATATTTTGATTTTTTGATTTTGTTTTTTTTCCGTTTTTGTCTGTTCTTTGAAACTAACAGAATCATTTATTGAAATCAGGAAAACAACAACGTCAATCGACTACAACAACAAAAACTACTTTAAAGCTTCCTATTCGTAAGTAGAATATTTTTTTGATTCTGGAATTTTTTCTTTCGCCAATTGAAAAATTTTTCGGGAAAATTTCTCCCCCATTGAAATATTTGTAAATTTTTACTTTCTCTCTTGTTCACGCTTTTCACATTTTTTCGATATATGGAAAAAAAATTTGTCAAATTTTAAATTGACTACTAAAAAAAATGAAAAATTTACACGAATCAATGAATATCATGCATACACACATCTCTCTCTCTCTCTCTCTCTCTCTCTCTCTCTCTCTCTCTCTATTTTGTTTGAATATCAAACAAATTTTTTTCTTTTGCCTTTTTTAAAATTCAAATGTATCTCAAGTTTTTTTTTTNAACACTCACTATTTATCCCCCTCTCTCTCTCTCTCTCTCTCTCTCTCTCTCTCTCTCTCTCTCTATTTGGTTTGAATATCAAACAAATTTTTTTCTTTTGCCTTTTTTAAAATTCAAATGTATCTCAAGTTTTTTTTTACTTTTATTCATTCAAATCATTCAGTGCAAATTGGAAACACATGAAAAAACATTAAACATTTTTTTTTGTTATCATATCAAATTCCTTGTTTTTTTATTCCTTGTTTCGTTGGAATTTTTCCAATTTTTGAAAAGATGAACGAAAAAAAAATGTCATACCTGGTGAAACAAATTGATCATGATGATGATGATTCTAAATTTTATTTTTCATAATAATTTTGTTCTTGTTGTTGAAAAGAATTTGACATTTTTTTTAGTTTAGTTTGTTTTTGATCATTTTGAAAATGATTGGAATTTTGACATTTGAATAAAGTTTTTTTTTGTTTTGTTTCACATCTTGTTTTTTATTTCTTGTAATAAAGGAAAGAATATTCTGCTCATGTTGAAAATTCCAAAAATTTTCAACATGAAAACAAAAATGTAAAGTGAAAAGAGAGAGAGAGAGACTGAAGAATGAATATTATTATCGATATTATTTTTGGAAACTTTTTTGAACTTGAAAAATTTTTGTTTTCAATCATTCAGTTCTTATCTAAAGAAAAAAAAAATTCTGCCAATTTTATTCTTTTCGATGAAAGAAGAGAGAATTGCACAAGAGAGAGAGATAAATGAAAGAAGAGAAAAATGAAAAAATCGATAGAATATTTCATAACATTTAAACATGTGGCCACACAACAACAACAACAACGAAAATTTGCCAATAGATTTCATTTCATTTTTATCAATTTTTTCTTGAAAAAAAAATTGAGAATTTAACAACAACAACAACAACAAAATGAATGAATGAATGGAAAAAAAACCGACCGAATTTTTTGAATGAGAAAAAAAAATAGGCTAAATAAAATCCATAAGTATCATTTCTTGAATTTCGTTTTACAAAGCAAACATTCTTGGTGCAAAAAGCTAAAAGAAAAAAAAAAAGGTTTTCTTCTTTGCACTCTAGAAAGTGAATACAGAGAAAAAAGGTTTACGAAAAAAAGAAAATTAAATTTCTTTCATCTCATTTCATCAGTAGGCAGTAGTAGTAAAAGATGGAAAAAATGTTTTCTAGTTACGTCATTATTATTATTATCCATGTGTTTTTTGTTGTTGATGTTTTTCATGTCATCATGTTTTTTGTTTGACAGACAAAACGAAAATATCAGATGATGATGATGATGAAACCTGAGTTGATTTGAATAACAAAATTATGCAAACCTTTTTTTTTTGTTATTCTGGTTTCGATTCTTGAATTTGTTTTTTGTTTTTTGTTTGAATGGAATTTTCAACTTGAAAAATCATTATGGTTTGAAATTTTTTTTTCAAACAATTTCAAGGTTCAAAGATAAGAGAATAAGGAATATATAGTGGTGGATCCATTTGGATCAGATAATAATGTGAAATTTTCCTGGAAATTTTCTGGAAATTTTCCCTTTTTTACTTGTTTTGTTTCCTGGTTATTGGTTTAAACTGTTTTTTCTTTGTTCATTATTTATTTACGGAAAATTTTCCATCAATCACAACCAAACCAATCTATGTCCATAAAATTCAACAATATTTACATGAAAATGTAAATCTTATGTTTTTTTTTTTTTGTTCTCGATTTTTGATTCTTTTGTTGTTTATCTTCATTGTAAAACGATGATAAATTATATACAATTTGAAGCAAAAAAAAAGGGTTGAGATAAATTTTCACTAGTTGTTGTTGTTGTTGTCATTCAAGTTTTTATCTCATAAATATTTATTTATTTACAACAACAACAATGTCATCAACAACAACAACAATGACATCAACAACAACAACAACAACATCGAGTGTTTGTTTTTGTTCTGTTGTTTTGTGTATCTAAATAGGTTTAGGTGTGGGAAACAAAACAAAAAATAAAAATTTCTTCGAAAATGATGATGATGATGATGTTCTTTTTTTACTCTTTTATTCCAAGCATATTACATAAGAAGATTGTTGGTCTCTATGGTGTTGTTTGTTTGTTATTGCATCCCATAAATATAAATCCAATCTTTCTCTCTCTCTTCATCTAATGTAACAAGAAATGAATATGATTTGAATCGAGTTTTGAATTTGTTTTTTCGGTTGAAAAAAATGAAATTTTAATGTTTTTTTTTCCCTTTTTTTATATTGCGTTTATGATTTGAAACAAAGTTAAAAATCAACATTATGATTATGATGATGATTTTCGTACGAATCAACAACAAATATGTTCAATAAATTCAATGAATAATAATAATAATCGTATGAAAATAAATATAAAAGAAATAATTAGAAATGGAAATTTAAATGAATTGGAAGAATTAGTATTGAATGGATATGGTTATAAATTATTAAATGAAATTACAAATACAAATACAACAACGACGACTATTTCAACCAATTCTTCTTTTGCACCATTGATTCAAGAATTTTTAAATAATTTACCAAACTATTTGGTTAGTAATGAATGATGATTATGGTGAAAAGTTTTAAATTTTTCCATTTTTCTTCTTTTTTTTAACCCCATACAAAATCATTAATTTGTCATTAATCAATCGATCGATTTACTCCATTCAACATTTTTTTTTTGAAACAAAAAAAGTATCAAATTGATCAATTACATCAAGCATCACAACGTGGTAATATTCATGAATTTCAATATTTATTAGATCGTTATTCATTAATTTGTTCACGTGATCGTTTGGGTGCAACACCATTACATAAAGCAGTATTATTTGGTCATTATGATTTAATAAAATTTATTATTAAAAATTTTGATCAAAATATATTGTATATTGGTGATAATGTGAGTTGTTTGAAGATGTTAATGTTTCTATCTATAGTTTAGTCAGTTAGTGTTTAGTTAGTGCATGGTGTGAAAATCCTTAAAATTGTTTGATTGATTTTTTTTCTCCAAAAAAACTTAACTTTTTCAAATAGGAAAAACGCACACCATTACATTATGCAGCCGGTTTAGTTGATGATGAAAATCATTCTATTTATTATCTGTTATTAAAATATGGTCCAAAAGCATCAATTATTGTTGATAAGGTTTGTTTAACCCGTTCGTTGATTGATAAATTTTATGTTTTTTTTTATCGAAACAAACTTTACCTTTTTTGACTTTGTGTTTGTTTGTTGTATATCATTGTATCATTGTGTATAAAAAAAGAAAAATCATACAGCCGATTATTATCTACGTTCACCAAACGAATTAAATATTTTAAATTTACGTAAACATTCTAAACGTTTAAATATTAATCATACAATTAATTTGGCTAATAAATTAAAATTATTATCATCATCATCCCCATCAACAACATCATCAGCATTATCTTTAACATTATCACCATCAACATCACCATTACCATTGTTAAAAAGTGAGTATATAAAAAAAACAAAAACAAAACAATGATGATTATTAGATAATGTTTGATTAATAGATGCATGAAATTAAAAAAAAAAATGTTGGCTTCACTGCCAAAATTCGACTGAATTTCTATATGGATTATGATGATCATTTGATAAATTCAATCAATAATTTTAAAAAGTTTAAAAAGTTTAAAAAAAATAATCGTTTAATAATTGATTTTTGTGAAAAAACTTTTGTTTTGTTTCGTTTCTTTTGTTTTGAACATTCAAAAGAACCAAATAAAAAAAGAGCGAAACTTTTTTTTTCTATGAAACATGAAATTTTCATTATTCATTGGATTTGCTAACTTTATGTATATGAATAATTTTCGTTTATCATTTTTTTTTCTTCTCTCCTTACTCTCCTTACTCTACTCTGTTTTAATTCAATTATCAAAGTTTTCTTTTTCGTTTTTGTTTTTGTTTGGTTTCATTATGATCACGATATTCAAACATTGTTTAAATATCGTCGTTCTTTTTTTTACTACCGATTCTCTCTCTCTCTCTCTCTCTCTCTCTCTCTCTCTCTCTTTTTTTCTTTTCCTTTTGTTCTTNTCACCAAACGAATTAAATATTTTAAATTTACGTAAACATTCTAAACGTTTAAATATTAATCATACAATTAATTTGGCTAATAAATTAAAATTATTATCATCATCATCCCCATCATCACCATCAGCATCAGCATTATCTTTAACATTATCACCATCAACATCACCATTACCATTGTTAAAAAGTGAGTATATAAAAAAACAAAAACAAAACAATGATGATTATTAGATATAATGTTTGATTAATAGATGCATGAAAGAAAAAATGTTGGCTTCACTGCCAAAATTCGACTGAATTTATATATGGATTATAGTGATCATTTGATAAATTCAATCAATAATTTTACATTTTTAAAATTTTTAAAAAGTTTAAAAAAATAATCGTTTAATAATTGATTTTTGTGAACAGAATTGAAAAAGAAACTTTTGTTCGCTTCGTTTCTTTTGTTTTGAACATTCAAAAGATTCAAAAGAACCAAAGAAAAAAAGAACCAAAGAAATTTTCATTATTCATTGGATTTGCTAACTTTGTGTATATATGAATAATTTTCGTTTATCATTTTTTTTTCTTCTTCTCCTTTCTCTCTATAACTCTGCTCTACTCTGTTTTAATTCAATTATCAAAGTTTTATTTTTCGTTTTTGTTTGGTTTCATTATGATCACGATATTCAAACATTGTTTAAACATCGTCGTTCTTTTTTTTTCGCTACCGATTCTCTCTCTCTACTGATCATATCATCATCATATCATTTTTTTTAAATGTTTCGGCTTTACTTTTTTTAAAATTAGCTTTAAATTGACTCTCTCTTTGTCTGTGTGTGTGTGTTTATGGTATACACAATAGTAAACCAGCAGCTGATAATCTGATAATCATATATCGGATGATTTTGTTTCTTTTTCCTTTTTGCATACATACAATGCAATGCAACCAACAACGAAAAAAAATAGCATCAGTAGAAAAAAAAAGTTTAAAATTTTTCATTTTTTTCTTTTCTTTCGTTACACACAGAATCGATGAATGATTACATTTTGTGAAAATTGTTCCTTGAAGCCAGGAAATTCTGCGTTTCTTCTTTTTCTGCTTTTCTTTTTCTTCATTTTCTTCTGAAAAAAAAATAATCAAAATGATTGATTGAATGAAATGAATGGATGGAAAATCAATTTTTTTATTTTCATTTCATTCGATTCATTTGAATCGAAATACAAAGAATAATCATAAAAAATTGCATTCAATTTTTCTTTTTTTTTCAATCGATTCAATTCGATTCGATTCGATTTAAATCTTTGTATCATTGCAAAAAGAGAGAAACATTAGCATTAGAAGAAATGAATCAAGTTTAGAAATTTTCTTCTTCCTTTTTTTCGGAAATTTATGATCATTTTCCAAAATCCAAATTCTTGATATTTTCATATTCATTCATTTGATACATTTATTCTTTTCTTTTTCTATTTTTCTGACGAAATTATTTAACTTTGAAACTTTTGTTGTTGTTGTTGTTATTGAAGAATATTCTTCATCTTTTTTGGCCTTTTTTGCAATTCAATAGTTTTGGATTCTGTTTTCCAATTTTTCCAATTTTCAAATTTTTCAAATTCAAATGAATTAAATGAACAAATTAAAGATTCTTTTGTCTTGTTAATGTTTTTGTTTGTTTAACAAATAAAAAACAAACAAACGACAGAAAAACATGTTTTTTCCAATGCAAAACAAAACAAATCTTAAATCAACATTTCTTTTTCTTTTTCTTTTCGTAAATTGAGCTAAATTTTTATTGTCAAGTAATTTTGGTTCTCTATTGTTCGTTGATCCATATGGTAGTATTAATATAATGATGGTAATGTTGATTTCTATTCTGTTTAGTGTTGTTTGATTTGATTAAAAATTTTGATACGAGAATGAATGAATGAATGAATGAATGAATGAAAAACAAATTAAACAACAAGAAAAAAAAATGAAAAGTAAAGTAGTTTTCTTTACCAGTTGTCGTCGTCGTCTTTCTCTTCATTCAAAGAATTCTTTGAAATTAGATTTTCATTTACATTTTCTGTTTGCTGTTTTCATTCTATGCAGCTCTAAACACCCACACACAAACACACACAGACAATTGGCCTGACACAATTAGATGCAAACTGCTTTTGTCAGGTTAATTTGTTTGATTTTGCTTTTGTTGTTGTTGTTGTTGTTGTTGTTGTTGAATAAATAAATCCAAGTTTAATTTTGGAAAAAAAATCTAGACTAAACACTAGACTTAAACAGACTATATTGATATTGATCCAAATTTGAAATTGAAAAATTTTCATACTAACTAAACACATTTACTTTCAAACAAACAAACAAACACACACACACACACACACACACACACACACACACAAAACCTGAATATATTTTGTATTTGAATCTAAAATATAAAATTCTGAAATGATAATATTTTCTTATCAAATAAGAGAGAGAGAGAGAGAGAGAGAGAGAGAGAGAGAGAGAGAGAA